CGGGTCCTCCATATGGAACAAGTCCCTGTTATATTCCCTTTTATCTTTTCCCCTCCCATGTTTCCAGTTTTTGTGACTTTTTTACCCTCACTTCCTCTCCCTGTGCTCCACCATCTAATTTCTTCCTTTCCTCTGTGTTGCCACGAGGCTTTCTCCTCTCACCCGCCACAAAGAAAACCTTGACACATAACTGGGATATGTAATTAAGCTTAAAGGTGCTTATTTCTGAATAGACATCCATATATGGGATTCTCCTGGTAATTTCTATTCAGCTGTTGGTCTATTTTCCTCCTCATTCATCCTCCATATATCTCAGATATTATTATTATTATTATTATTATTATTATTATTATTATTATTATTAGACTCAGAGAGGCTTGTCAAAAAGCACACACACACACACATATATGTTGATTTTCAATAGCATTATTATGGTTATGATTATTATTTGGAGGCTGGTGAAGAATTCTACAACCTATTTAAAACAATTGCCAAAATAAAAGATGTCATTTGAAAAGCAGAGTTTGAAAAGCTTCCCTTTTTAATGGAAAAAAAACTTTCAGATGTGCAACAACTTCCCTGTATAAAAATCAGTAGCTACAAAAGAATTAAAAACAGAGCTGGGGAAAGTATGCTTGTTTTTTTCCTGTTCAATGCACAACTTGGGGAACTTTATTTGTTTGGATTATAGCTTTCATATGTTCTTAAAAGCAGTTATTGAAAAGGTGTTACAAACAGAGCTCTGAATTTTTGCTTGTTTTTCTTTCTTTCTTCAATTCAAAGCCTGAAAAACTTTGAATTGATAAGTAGAGAATGGTATAGACCAGGCATGGGCACTTTCTAACTTGGGGGCTGCAAAGTGGGGAGGGTGGGCCAGGAGGGAGGGCGCTCTCCCCAAGTCTTGGATGCAGAAAGTGAAGGAAAGACAGGAAACGTTTGGATCCCAAAAGGGTTGGTCTTGGTCACAATGAGGTGGTGGACAGAAGAGAATATATAAACCTATAATCCTAGAGCTGGAAGAAACCCCCAGGGGTCATCCAGTCCAACCCCCTGCCATGCAGGAAGGCACAATCAAAGCACCCCTGATAGACAGTTTCTGCAGAAAAGCCTCCAGAGGAGACTCCACCATACTCTCACGCAGCCTATGCCACTCTCCAATAGCTCTTACTCTCAGGAAGTTCTTCCTAATCCTTTCAGTCGAATCTCTTTCCCTGCCATTTGATACCATTGCTCCCTTGTACCCTGAGCAGCAGAAAGTCAGTTTTACGCCTCCTCCTCAATGGGACACCCTTTTAAATTTTGAAACATAGTTCCATGTACTCTCTCTACCTTCTCTTCTTCAAGCTAAATATTCCCCCAGGAGAAAAGAAGGAAGGAAAAAGAGAAGGAAGGAAGGTAGGTAGGAAGAGAAGAATGGAAGGAAGAAAGGGTGGAAGGGAATGGAAGAAAGGGAGGGAGAGGGAAAGAGAGAAGGAAAAAAGACAAAAGGGAAAAAAGGAAGGAAGGAGAAAGGGAGAGAGGGAAGAAGGGAGGAAAGAGGGAATAAAGAAAGGACAAAAGGTGGAAGGGAAGGAAGGAGGGAGGGAAGGAGGAAGGAAAGAGAGAAGGAAGGAAGGAAAGGATGGTGTGTGAGAAGAGGGCCTGAGAAAAGAGCCCAAGGAGCCGGGCCTGGGTTTGCCCATACCTGGTATAGACTATGATTCTATACCAATCTCAACTTTACACATATAGATTGGGTATCCCTTATTTTGAATTTCAAAATCAAAATACTCCAAAAATCCAAAATTGTCTACATGGGTGGCTGAGATAATGACATATTTGATTTCTGATGGTTTGATGTACATGAACTTTGTTTCATGTACATTAAAAATGTATAAAATTACTTTCGGGCTGTGTATATAAGGTGTGTAAGAAACACAAATTATTTATGTGCTTAGAGATGGGTCTCATCTCCAAGCTATCTTATTATGTAGATATATGCAAACACATGTATTTAAACCCCCCCCCCACACACACACACATACACACACATCAAAATACAAAATACAAAACACTTTTGGTCCCAAGCATTTTGGATAAGGAATGCTCAACCTGTATTTAGCTACACAGCAGAAATAGCATAGAACACTCATACAGCCTCATCAGACATGCAAAATTGCATGTTGTATGATGCTTCTACTTCACTTGTGACATGGAGCCCTCCAGCTCCCATCCCACAATGTCGATCTACTTCTGTTAGGGCTCTTCTGTTAGTCAAATTGGAATGTGGTAAGCTGCCACCAAAGCAATGCAGGAGGTGCTTCGCCTCGTAGGTTGGGGTGAGGGGGAAAACATGTGATGCAGGGTGCAGGGAGACAGATTACCCACATCCCACACCAAGCCCCACCAGATTCACCACAATGTGTGGCAAATCCCACCCTTAATGTGATGAAGTCCCTAAAAAATTGCAAAGGTGTGTATCAGGCACCAACAGGAGTGTCCTGGTGTGCATTGGGCTCTATCAATGCACATTCTTACTCCCTAGCTGGTGTCCCAATGTTCATAGGTCCTGTTGTGCATTGGTCACTTTGCTGGCTCCTCTGCGAATATTTCTATGCTGTTGAGTTAATGCAGCTTGATATCACTTCTACTGCCATGGCTCAACACTATGGAATCATGTGAGTTGCAGCTTTAGAAGATATTTAGCCTTCTCTATCAAATAGTGCCAGTGCCTCACCAAACTACAAATCCCAGAATTCCATAACATTAAGTCATGGCAATTAAAGTGGTGTCAAGCTGCATTACAATCCACAATGTAGATGCACCCTGCATGGTAACATCCCAGCAGCCCCTTGTTAAATATAGACATTTTAAAAATGCACAATTCTGTTTCAGACGTGTCCAATCGAGAAGCCCCTTACTGAATTGCAACTGTAGTTTCCAACCAGAAAAATACTTTCTCACTTGCCAAATTGTGTATATATCTTTGATTTGAATGACAGATTCTGAGCAACTGTGGTTGATGCCTAAGGTATCTCACTTAATTACATCACTGGAGCCCACCCCCATGACATTGCCGGGAGCCATCCTTACATCTCAAGCTTTGGCCCCAAAATCTCAAGGCCTGGGGTGCTCCTGAATTGGCAGTCCTGTCACTCATTATGAATCAGACTGGGAATGTATGAAAAACTTGGACACATTTCATAATGAATACCATGGTGAGATAAACCCTTGAGCTGGTTGTTCTGAATCATCCTCATTACAACTCTCAGGGCAATCTCTTGAGTTTCAGGCACCCAGGGCTTCTCATTTTAGAAATCATGTATTGGCTAGCTAATACATCTACACATTTATTTAGTGGCCATAAGCCTGGATGGCTAGACTTCTCTTGTGTGTGTTCTTGTGGGTATCGAGTTGTCAATTCTAGCTGTCCCCTTACTTACCCTAGAAAGAAGAAGTCTCCTAAGAGATTCTCTTTCTTTCCCAAACACACAAAGTGAGCTTAAAATTGCCTGTAGTAGGTAAACTGACACCTATGACCTTCCAACTACACTTGTACACCCGAAGGATTATTTCTACCTGACAACAGCATAAATATACTGGTATGGACTCAACTTCTGCCACTGTATTCACTAGCAAATACTAATCAAATTTTGGTTTCAGAAACTCATGGAGAAATCTTACCAATTCTCGAACGTTGCAGGATATTGTAAGAATCTGACATTTATTTCCTTCATAATTCCTGGGCATCTAAATTCTATCTATGATTACCTGCAAGCAAGTTTTTCTTAGTTCTGAGAAACCATTTTCCAAACAAATGTGCATAGTATTGAACTGTATACTGGCATAGACTAATGATATTCTTGCACTATTGGTAAGGTATACTATCTTGTAAAAAAAAGTAATTAATACTTGACATGTTAGCTCCAAAATATTCAGACCATGGAATGAACCTACATTTTCATTTGATGCAATACTAGTAAATGATATTCTCAAAGACATACACACCAAACTAAATTATCCCAATGTTTTCTGAATCTTTTCTTTCTATTTGGTATTGAAGTATGTACACGTTATGAATCAAAACTTTACTTGTAAGCAGGTAAAATTCATTGAGAAACTTCCAGATATTGCAGTAACCTGCAGATGAAGCAGTAAACTGAAATTCTTTGATTACAACTCCAGTTTTTACAGCCAGACATGTTTCATTGAGCAACTTCTTCTTTTTTTTTAACTGCATTGGACAGTCTTTAAAATAAATATACTTTTTAAAACTTCAATGAAATATCAAAAGAAATACAACCTGCTATTGCTTTCAAAGACTATGGAAATTAAGAATAAAGAAGCATGTGAATTTTTAAATACCTTTATGTTTTCTTTCCATGTTTAGAAACTTTTAAAAAGCTGCAAATTGTATATTCTCCAAACTGTAAATGATGCCAGACCACTTCTACTTCCCTTTTGTCAGCTGTCTAGCTATGGCAGCACTACAAACATATACAAGTACAGGAATGTTCCTTTCCTGACAAAACTCAAGTATAATGAAAGTTAATTATCATGAATTCATGAAAGTCAATTGTTATATAAGCCTTGTGTTTTAAGATCATTCAGGACATTCCACTGCCAAATGGGGATTTGAACACTGGTCTTCAGGGTCATAGTCCAAGGCTCAAACCACTATACCATGTTAGCTCCATTAATAAGCTACCATAAGTCAGCTGTTTCCATAGTACATTAAAGAGTAACACATGCAAATGAGACAGTAACATAGCTCAAGTTTTATGAATGACAAAGGGAAATCATTAGGTAAGTGAAGAAAGAGAAGATTAAGAAGAAATGAATATTAGTAAATACAAAAATGCAACACTTGAGTAGCAGCTTAAGAATTGCCTATTATATCCAGCTCACCATTTTATACTTTGATTACAGACTGGAAAGATTCAGAACGCTGTGAAATGAAGACACTTCAAGAACATGATGAAGAGATTGTAGATGTCATAAATTATGGAGCTCTGGATTACCTGAATGGCATTGGTTACATTCCAACCAGCTTCCCAGGTGGTGATCAATGCGCCCTGGGCATTTAGCAGGTGAACCTGGCTGTGGCATTCTGGGTCCTGGCTATGTGCTGTAAATCCCATGGAAGCTGGTCCAGTTGTTTCCTCTCCTCCTTCATCATGACCCTTGTTGAGTTCATCCTCTCTGGCAAAATGGACATTTTCTTCATCAGTATAGAGGCAGCCTCTCCATTTTGTCATTTTCATAAGCTGGGAGCTGGAACCCCCAGAGTTGTTCAGAAGAGATGAAAACATGTAAGCTATCTTGAGTTGTAGTGAGGCTAATTTCCTTACTAAAGTTAATTCTGCCGAATTGTTCAGTAGTATTAGTATTCCCCCACAATTTTCTTAAGTGCGCTGAAAAAAAAAAGCTGTGCTGCATAAGAATTCACACTTTCTAGTCTTTCACTTACAGTCAAAATAGCAATATAAAAGATAGTCTGCTGTGGTCCTCACTCTGCTGCTCTGAATCAACAATGGTGAGTAGCCCACAAACTAACACCTCCACCTCAAAACCTCCCTGTTATGGTCATCATTACGGAGAGCACTCAATCATGAAGCCTCTCTCAATGACAGTGAGAACATACTGCTAGGAATTATGCAAGTATCCCTTTCAACAGAAACAGCCCTGTCTTCCTAAAATAATTGCTGCCTTTAACACTCAGAACCGACTGAAGCTGCCAAAATGAACTCTAAAATGCATTTACTATCAAGTTCATAGCCGAAGTTTTCACAAATCTTGGTAAACTTAAAAAAAATCACAGCTCAGGCACAGCGTTGCAAACTGGTAAAAACCATTACTTTAACTGAGAAACAGAAAATAAAAATATACAGTCAACCATCCATATCCATGAATTTATGTATTCATGGATTCCACCATCCATGGTATTTTAAAATATTTTTAAAAATCCAAAAGAGCAAAGCATGATTTCATCATTTGATACAAGGGACTCTGTCAGATCATTTGTTAATTATGTAGAAGAGGAGCAGGAAACCTCATCCCAAAAACTAAAGGGTTAAGGCATTCCCATTCTGGGAACACCTAGTGCCAGTACTGTTGACCCTTTGTTTACAAAGGGCAGTTTCCTTTATTGGAATGAAATAGGGCACCTTCATAGAGTTCTGCGTAATAACACAAGCATCTGAACATAGGAAAGGGTTTCAAACAACATAGGATGGCAACAATGGCTTTCCCCTGTTTTTGAGACTTTTCTCTCCTACAGTTGTTTTTGGTCATCTCTTACCTGAAGACTTATTTTCTCTATATGTGGTTTCATTTTATGAATGTATCCATTATATTGGCTCTCAGGTTGGTACATATGATGGGGTTCCATGAGAATCATAAAGCTACATAAAACAGCAGTGCAAAGTTCATAAAATATTAACACTTAAAATGGTCCTAACCAAAACTAGTGATTGGCTGAAAGCATTATAAAGTGCTCACACCAACTATAAGGAAATGGCTGTTAAAAATGAAATGTTCTCACATCAGTTAGCAAAATGACAGCAAAGATTGCTGGTATGTCACAAATTGCTTTGTGCATCTTATATGTGCTGCTATGCACAAGTGAATCTCGTGTGCATTAAATTCATTCTGCTTGTATTGTATATATCTTGAATCTTACTTAACGCCATGTGTTAAGTAGCTCAGACTACAGAAATATAAAATTATTTTGTATTTCCCCCCCCCCCCCCAATTTTTGATGGTTAGAGGCGCAGGGTTATGATAGTTGATGTTGTAAGGAAAAGCAAAGGACAAATGTTTGAGATAACTTTGTGTAAAATGTGTAATCTGATACGGCATCAATTTAGCTTTTTAAAAAATAAAAGTATGATTAGATTGGAATGCAGATAGGAATTATTCAAATATCCTTAACTGGGAAACTAAGGGTGCATCTATACTGTAGAATTAAAGCAGTTTGCCACCATTTTAACTATAATGGCTCAATGCTATGGAATCCTGGGAATGTAGTTCTACATGGTCTTTCTTTCCTTCAGTGTCAAATACAGTCTTCCACATTTATGGTTTTTACTTTTGCAGATTTGATTATTCACAGAGTAGATTTTAAATGTTCCATTTGGGAATCTCTAGGTTCTTTATGGTCAGTTTCCTCCAGTCATGCAGAAGGATTAAGAAATTTCCAGAGAGAACAGCTCAGGCTTGCCAGGGACATTAAAAACAATAAAAAGAGCTTCTTTGCTTACATCAGTAGAAAAAGGAAGAACAATGAGGCAATAGGGCCTCTGCGAGGAGAAGATGGGGAAATGCTGACAGGGGATAGGGAAAAGGAAGAACTACTTAATGCCTTCTTTGCCTCAGTCTTCTCACAAGAAGAAAGCTGTCCTCAACCTCAGCAAGATAGAGTGGATGAGAGTTTAGGGGAAATCCAAATTGGGAAACAAGTCATCCAGGCTGCTCTAAATGAATTCCCTAGGGCCAGATCAACTACACCCAAGAATATTGAAGGAACTAGCAGAAGTCATTTCGGAACCTCTGGCAATCATCTTTGAGAGTTCTTGGAGAACAGGAGAAGTCCCAGCAGATCGAAGGAGGGCAAATGTGGTCCTTATCTTCAAGAAGGACAAAAAGGATGACCCAAACAATTACTGTCCAGTCAGCTTCACGTTGATACCAGGCACAATTCTGGAAAAGATTGTAAGGAAGTGTTCTGCAAACACTTAGAATCAAATGTGGTCATTGCTAATAGTCAACACGGATTTACCAAAAACTAGACATGCCACAGGGAATGCCATGGATTTAGCATATTTGGATTTCAGAAAGGCCTTCAACAAGATCCCCCATGACCTTCTGGCAAACAATGTAGTCTAATGTGTGCTAGGCAAAACTACGGTTAGGTGGATCTGTAATTGGTTAAGCGAACAAACCCAGAGGGTGCTCACCAATGCTTCCTCTTCATACTGGAAATAAGTGATGAGCAGAGTGCTGCAGGGTTCTATACTGGGCCCAGTCCCGTTCAACATATTTATTAATGACTTAGATGAAGGGTTAGAAGGCATGTTTATCAAGTTTACAGATGACACCAAATAGGGAGGAATAGCCAATATCTCAGAAGACAAGAGCAGAATTCAAAATGATCTGAACAGATTAGGAAGATGGGCCAAAACTAACAAAATGAAGTTCAGTGGGGATAAATGCAAGATACTCCACTTAGACAGAAAAAAATGAAATGCAAAGATACAAAATGGGGGATGCCTGGCTTGACAGCAGTACACATGAAAAAGATCTTGGAGTCCTTGTGGACAACAAGGTAAATATGAGCCAACAATTGTCAAAAGCACCAATGGGATTTTGGCCTGCATCAATAGGAGTATAGTGTCTAGATCCAGGGAAGTCACGCTATTCCTCTATTCCACCTTGGTCAGACCACATCTGGAATACTGTGTCCATTTCTGGACACCACAATTGAAGGGAGACGTTGACAAGCTGGAATGTGTCCAGAGGAGGGTGACTAAAATGATCAAGGGTCTGGAGAACAAGCCCTATGAAGAGCTGCTTAATGAGCTGGGCATGTTTAGCTTGCAGAAGAGAAGGCTGAGAGAAGACATGATGGCCATGTATAAATATTAGGCCTGGGCGGTTTCGTTCGTTAATTTTGTAATTCGTTAAATATTCGTTATTTTTAGCATTTACGAAACGATTACAAAACACATTTTCAAACCCGGAAGGGTTTAAAAATAACGAACCGGCAACCCCCATAGTTTTAACGAGCTTCCGCCCGTTTCGTAAATGGGATGGAGGCTGCTGGTGCCCTGGGAGCCAATCCGGCGCTCCCAAGCACCCAAGCAGTGCACCGTGGCTGTTTCTGATTGGCCGGCGAGCCCTTTAAAAGCGGCTCCGCGCGGCCGTACAGCTCATTGCTGCAGAGGGCGAGGGAGAAGAGAAGAGGTCCGGGAGGGTTTGCATTGGGTTGGCTTGCAACTGCTTGGATTGGATTCATTCCTTGCTCATTCCTTGCTTGGATTCATTCCTTGCTGCTGTGCTTAGTGCTTATTATTCCTTGCTTGGATTCATTCCTTCCTTCGGTTTTTGTGAATTTGTTTGTTAATTTTCCATTTTTAAATATTTTTTAATATTTTCTAAAAATACCTGTCTTTTATTCTTAAAAAAATACAAAAAATATTCTAAAAAAGAAAAGACTCTTCTGTTGCTGTGTGCTCTCGTTTGCCCTGTCTCGTGGCTGTGTTTGGTCCACATCAGGGCCAGTTTTTGGTTAATTTTCCATTTTTGAATATTTTCTAAAAATACCTGTCTTTTATTCTTAAAAAAACCCAAAAATATTCCAAAAAAAGAAAAGACTCTTCTGTTGCTGTGTGCTCTCATTTGCCCTGTCTCGTGGCTGTGTTTGGTCCACATCAGGGCCAGTTTTTGGTTAAGTTTCCATTTTTGAATATTTTCTAAAAATACCTGTCTTTTATTCTTAAAAAAATACAAAAAATATTCTAAAAAAATAAAAGAATCTTCGGTGGCTGTGTGTGCGTTTGTCATTTGTGTAGTTCCAACCAGTGCGCTCCTTTTGCCAACACAAAGTGCTACATACACTGCTCGCTCATCATTTGTGTAGTTCCAACCAGTGCGCTCCTTTTGCCAACAGAAAGTGCTATAATACAGTGCTCGCTCATTTGTGTAGTTCCAACCAGTGCGCTCCTTTTGCCAACACAAAGTGCTATAATACAGTGCTCGCTCATTTGTGTAGTTCCAACCAGTGCGCTCCTTTTGCCAACCCAAAATATTTAATAACGAAGTTTTTAATAACGAAGTTTTTAATAACGAAGTTTCGGAAGTCGCTTTGCGCATGCGCAAAGCGTCCGCCATTCTAACGAATCGATTCGTTATAACCTTAACGAATCGACCCCGCACCAATAACGAAGCTTCGGAAGTGATTTTGCGCATGCGCGGGGGGTCCGCCACCTTAACGAAACGTTTCGTAAATATTTACGAAATTTCGTAAATACCGAACTTTTTTTAGGGGAAAATTTTAGTCCAGAAAACTGTGGGGATGGTTTCTGGACCTTCCAAGAAGGTGCGGAATAAATCCACTATCTAATTAATTCACTACAAACCAGAGTTTTCCTGTTTTGTAGCAAATTAATTCAGGACTGTCCAGAACGTTGTCTGTACAGCCCCTTCTTTATTATGGGAGTTACCACAATAAAGGTACTGTCTGGATGAGCCCCTGGAGACTAGGACATGGAACAATGGCTTCAAACTACAGGAAAGGAGATTCCACCTGACCATTAGGAAGAACTTCTTGACTGTGAGAGCTGTTCAGCTGTGGAACTCTTTGCCTTGGGCTGTGGTGGAGGCTCCTTCTTTGGAAGCTTTTAACCAAAGGCTGGATGGCCATCTGTTGGGGTACTTTGAATGTGATTTTCCTGCATCTTGACAGAGGGTTGGACTAGATGGCTCATGAGATCTCTTCCTACTCTATGATTCTATGATTCTATAGGAATGTTTGGTCTTCCAGTGCAATGTTATGGTCGGTTTCCAGTGGAAGATGACCATAGAGAAACTAACTCAGGTTTAAAAATAGTATTTTATTTAATTGTTGTTTTTCACTTTCACTGGGTTCTATGCCCATTGACCCAGCAAACGTAGAGGATTGAGTGTATTGTTTTTTTACCTCACTAAACTACAACTCCCGT